CGTCTCATCGATTATCCGCAAGTCGAATCTCACCGATCCTTTCATCCCGTCTCTCCCGGGCGACGCGAATGGAACGGCTTCGACGGATCGGCGATTAGGGATAATCGCGCGCGGAGTGCCATTCGATTTGTTCGAACGCGCGAGTCTCACGTTTTGAATCGTCGCGCGATACCAATCGCGTATTTATCGATGAATAAAATACCCGGGGACGGGGTTCTCAATCGCGAACGTCACGCGCCGAGCTTCTCTTATATCTGATCTTATTTCATTATTATTCACGTAAACAAGCAAAGCGAACGTACAGCCATCAGATACACGGAGCATCTCATATTGAGCTTCCGATTATACTTTTTGATTAATTGCGGAGCGAATATTTTCAAGTGAGATTTTCATCGCAAAAACTGGACATATAAAATAAAATCGTGTCGGTTGAGCGCTGATTTGAGAGATATTCAATATAAATCTCATAAAAAAATAAGACTCACCGGACATCCCAGAAGCAGTCGAGAAATGTCGTTCTGTAAAAAAATACAGAATTATATTATATTATATTATAATTATAATTATAAATTATAATATTATATTATATTAGAATTATAATATTATAATTTTCTAATTTTATAACCATACATAATAGAATTATATTATATAATTGTAAATTATACACAGTCAAAAATATTAGATGTCTATATATTCTTTTCATTTGAAATTCTATTACCTATATTGTTTCTATACGCATAAGTTTATAAAGTATTTTTAAAACAAAGAATAACTTACAACAAATAACATAAATCAATTTTTGAGCCAAAACGTTACATATTAATTAAAAAGATGTCTAATATTTGTAACTGTGTATTTGCAATCAATGTAATTGATTTTTTCTTTAAATTAATTCTCAAGATAATTGATCAATATATTTTAGAAATGTGAGCTTACATCTTGTATAAAAAAAATGCTCTACAAAATTCCATTTTAATGTACGTTGCGCTAAAAACGTTTACTTAAATTTGATGTAAATTCTATTGTTCATTATTCATTTTTGCAACATTACGATATCATTATAAAATATTGAAAATAAATTATTAAAATTAATAACTCACTTAATTTTTAAAAGTTTTTGAAATATTAAAATAATTAAAAAAAAATAAATATTAAAAATATCGAAAATAAATAAAAATTATATAATATTATGAAAGAAAAATAAGCGAATTTTCTTACCAGCCGATGTATCATTTCTATTCGCCTTCCTGTCAGTCCCCTCTATTGCTTCAGGCACTCTCATAATACAAATCGATCGCGAAAAATGTTACAGACACAATCGAGACATTCGTATCCTGGTAGAAATTTCATACGTTTTTTTTTAGCAGTTATTGAATAATTATATTAACTCTGTTTAGTAATTGAAAAGTGAAAGTAGTTAGGAACTCAATCAAGATGCTTTGTCTGCAGTTAATGCGCACAAAAGATGCGCAAAATCTGATATTTACTTAAAAAAAGAATAGAACAATAAATATATTACGCAGTATTTTAACTATTTTTAAACTATTTACTATTTAAATTTTAATATTTACTATTAAATTTAGTATTTTAATGATATTTAACTAATCCTTTAACTAATATTTTAAATTTTAACTGGTTTTTAATATTTTAACTTATTTTTAATTAATAATACTCTACTAATACCAGACAATAAATGAACAGGTGTCTATTCAAATTGTACATACGTACATACATAAAAATTTTCGCTTTTTACGTTTCCACTCTAAAGAAAAAAATTACATGATTGCTACCCAGTCACCGAATAAAACTCTATCAAGTTCTTGTTCATTTCCTATATAATATTGTTGTTACAACTAATGAGAATACAGTAAAACTAGATAACAACTGGACGAGTATCTAGGAAAACTGTATGCATTTCTACCAGAAAATAGTTTCACTCCCGATTAACATATTCGCGGTGCATTTCAATCACCGAACAAGCGACGCGTCGCACTTTGAGGAAATGGCGACGCAAAACCACAATACGTTCACTCGTTACTTTAACTCGGCACTCAGTACGCGTTCAGAACAATCACACGTGTGATGTGTCCTGAAAAAGCGGAATTACGACACTCGTCCGCACTTAATTCGACCACTCCCGATATTCGATCGTGCACGCGATCGTGCACCTTCAACGAGCGACGACGAAACCGCGGCTCACTCACCGTTAACTCGATTCGACTTCCGACTCCGTGCCATGTAAAAACGTCCGAGAGACGCGAAGACAACTTCATACCTATGCCGAACTTCATGCGCTTGATTTATGCTTCGGTCTTAACTCTAAAATCCTAAAATTCAGCCAATAGGGCTGCCAGTCTTAATTGATCCTAACTGAAATCTGTATTCCATTGGCTGAATTTTAGGATTTTATGGTTAAGACCCAAGCATAAACCAGGCGATACTTGTGCCTTCGCGAGTCGCGATCGCTTGTCGACTAATTACCGTCACACGCTCCAATTAATTCATCCGACATTTGCACCGCACGATCGCGTACTACGTGAGACACTTGGGACGAGACAAACAACGTAAAAAACGAACGAAGAACGATTGAAATGAAACGCATGTCCATCGCAACACTTCCGTGACACTCATTACGCGAGAGAGTGAGTTCGATTGCCTGCGCTACTTCACTCCGGTGCAACTTCAGAGCTATTATATGCGAGAAATTATCTACTCACACAGTATGAAATATTTATATGAATCATTTTTTTGAAATATCTCAGTAAAATATTTCAAAAATATTTTGTAAACATTTGCAAATTTTGCATTAAAATTTTAAAACAATTTCGAAATATCGCATTAAAATATTTCACAAAAATATTTTAGAAATATTGTACAAGTATATATTGTAAGAAAAAGATTATTTCAAGGCCTCTGATATTCTAGATATGTTTATATGTAACAAATATTTCAAATCTCTTGCAATGAAATATTTTGGAAATTTTCTGAAATATTTCATGCTGTGTGGATAAGCAGAGCCATATTGGATAAGCGATTTCGAGCGTAAAACGCTTTGATATATATTTCGCCGAATGACAAATATTACATCAGTTTGTTACATTTTTTAAAGGATTTTGTGCAAAATAGTCTTTTACGTATGGAACAACGCAAGTGATCAAATTCGCATCCAACGGTCAATTTCTAAAACAAACAGCGATGCCAACTTTATATGCGTATCGAACTGTATCATCGCCATTATTAGCAGAATTAATTAACGAGCTATTATTATGAATTTCGATTAATCTGTAATATTTTCAAGGCATACTTTCAACGTTCTATTGTACACGCAATATACTCAGATGAATAAATTAATTTATGAGAAAGAAAGGCGATGCGAAATTTTCGATGAAATTAGACGAATTATTAACAAATTGATACCGCAACATATAATGTGAATATATCGTGATGCCTAAATCGCGGAAATATATCGGAGAAAGAAATATTATAATTATTACGTACTGTAATACAATACTTTGATACCATTACACATACTTACGGCGAATGAGGTACATTTTATGGGCAACAAAATATCGAATAAACGTCAAGATATAAAACGAAGTCTCAGAGAACGGAAAATTACGTGCGCAATTGAAGCAAAGGGAAAAAAAGAGAGAATCGATAAAGATTTTCCGAGCGGAGCGGATCGTCGCGCAGCGTTCTTCGCGGGAGTCGAAACTCGAAAGGAATGCGATGCGTGGTACGGCTTGGCTCGACTAGAGAGAGATTCTATGGGCGGAATCCATAGACCGGTAATTCATCAGTGGCGCGCGCCACCCACCCTCCCTCTCCCCCTCCCTGTTTATTTCTCGCCTACCCTACCGTCTCAACTGCCACCGCGTGACCTACATTGACCTACATATGTCGCGCACGTGTCAACAACGTGATAACGGCTACCGCAGACAAAATTCCGTAACAGTAAGGCCGGAATCAGATACTCAATGGCTACGTTTACACCGTGGGTTTAGGCCGCGACCTATACGATAGATGTCTTTGTTTAACCTACAGGATAAACAAGGACATCTATTATATAGGTCGCGGCTTAAATGCACGGTGTAAACGTAGTCATTGAAGATTGAGATTGAAGATTGAAAGATTGAAATTTGATCAATCAAAATAATAGGAGCTAAAATTCCTTTGTCCTCACTGGTCAAATTTTAATCTTCAATCTTCAATCTCAGGCTGCGGTCCACTTGACGCTACAAACGCTTTGAAGCGTTTGAACGACCAATCAGAACAACAAATTTTACGAATTGATTAATCAAAAAATGCTTCGAAGCGTTTATAGCGTCAAGTGGACCGCAGCCTATATCTTCAATACGTAGTTTGATTCCGGCCTAAGCGTAAGGCATAAACTTAAGTCGACGAGCCAATCAGGATATTGCTTTAGATCCACGTAATCTAACGAAATAGAAATAGCAGTAAATTTATTTTATAAGGCAAATTTCAACCGGTTGAAATTTGTAAAGAAATCGAATCAAGCTCATTGAATGCTCGATGGAACGAATGAGCGATAATACAGCATCGATAGGTAAGAAAATTTGTGTCTACTTTTTTGTGTATCGATTTACATTTAGATTGAAATCTTTTATTCTCTGTTCCTATTGCCTATGCTTTTCATTGTATTTCCGGCTATATGACTCAAGTATTTTTATGTGCCAGGGCCTTTGCTTTTTTCGCGATGTTCAATAGTATCAATATTATCGATTGTAAAATGTACAAGATAATTAGGATTTTTATTTGCTAAAAAAATCTTAAGATAATTAAAAAATATTAAGATACTTAATCTATTTAGAATTTATTTCTGACAGATTAATAAGAAAGGAAGGGATTTAATAACGACAAATAACTTGTGTAAGAAATAAAAAAAAATCGTTTTCATTTAGGAAATATGTATGAGGAAATAAGGAAATATAAGTACGAACGGAGAATCGGTTTAAACAATAATGAAAAATTTACTGCAGTGACAAGCTTTATTTTAAAATTATAAGGTTCTTTTTAGCTTTATTCGAAAATTATTAGGGTTTTTAGCCGTGCGAATATGATTTAAAACACATGATGCCTATAGTGCTGAGGGAAAGTTAACCTTCAGCCGAATCTGGCTGAACCTTTATCTGTATTTCATAACGATACATGTATCCAGAAGAGATCTGCGAAATAAATATACAAAATTAATCCTTGTGACATGCACGTTATTTTTTAATACTAGAATTTTCGAGAATTAATAGAGGAAGGTCACCGATACCGACATACCACTTTGTTTTTAGACAATATTTCTTAAGCAAAAGGTAAAAATACAACTTCAAAAATATAAATACAAACTAAAAAGTGTTAGATTATATATAAAGATTATATTAATAAATCCGTCAAAGAATCGCGATTTTTAATTTGAAAAATGTTTACCAGAGTCTAATTTCAGTTGTCACCGTTTCCGTCTCCTCCCCCTCCCCGTCCTCCCCGTCCTCCCCGTCCTCCCCCTCCTCCCTGTCCTCGCCCTCCTCCCTGTCCTCCCCCTCGTCCTCCCCGTGCTCCCTGTGCTACTCCTGCGCTTCCTTGTGCTACTTGCATTAATAAAGGACTATCTTGACCCATCATAGCATGTTCAGCGCTTGCTTTCCTTAATCCTGTCCCCATCTTTAAATAAAAATTATCTCATCGCAAAAACTATCTGACGAGAGTATGAAAAAATTATTCATATCTATATTAAAAATCCAAATTGAAAAACTTGTCAAATTTTTCTGACATAATTCCGCGAGAAATTATAACAAAATATTCAGTCGTACTCACTTCATTCATTTGATCTTCTTGTGAATCGGCGAACTGAAAAGACAGTTGAATGTTTTATTACAAATATGACCATATTAGACGATATTAATAACGAAATATTAGTAATGCTATAATTATGCAACTCTAAATAAGCGATATTATTCCGCGAAATAAATCGAGTGCTTCGAAAAATGTGCTTTCCAAAAATTATTTGCAAAAGCATCATTAAAAAAAATATGTTATTTATATTTGCTTTCTGCTTTCGATAATAAAAATTTATCCCTATATATTTCCCTTCTCCTCATTTTTCTCATTAGAAAAGATTTGATAAAAACTTTTTAAGCATTTATTGATATATGATCTATTTTGTATGTAATGGGATGTTTCTAAAAAGGGCCGGTTTCTGCCTAAAAAGGTGTAAATAAAAAGAATAATGTTTTTTGTAGATTTTGACTTCCTGGATACGATAAAATTATTAAAACGTTTGTAACGTTTAGGGAACACTTCAAAAATTGAACACAAATATGGTATTTATTCAAATTTCAATAGTCTTGTTTAATTTTCGAGGTGTTCTCCAAGTGTCACAAAATTTTTAATAACTCTATTATTATAATCTCGAGTAAAAAATTGGCCCTTTTTTAATACCCTCCGAAAAATGAAAGATATTAAATCCTCCTATCTCTGGCCGATTTTTACTTAAAAAGATGTAAATAAAGGAAATAATGTTTTTTATAAATTTTAACATCTAGATATGCTAAAATTATTAAAAAGTTAATGACATTTAGAGAACATCTCGAAAATTAAGCAAGAATATTGAAATTAAAGATAAATATATCATGTCCGTACTCAATTTTCGAAGCGTTTCTCAAACACTAAGAACTTTTTAATAATCTTATCATATTCAGGAGATCAAAATCTACAAAAAAAACACTATTTCTTACTGACACCTTTTTAGGCAAAACTCGGATTTTTTTAACATCCTCGTTTCAATCGATTTTAATTGAGATTTTAATCTTTATTTTAAAACGCGAGTTCGTATATTTAATTTATAATTCTATATTAATACATTAATACATTAATAATATATTAATAATACTATTTATATATATGTATATATATAACGTGTAATTTACATTGCTTCATTCTAAGACTATAAATGAGCTATTATTGACTTCTTACCATCGCCACGCAAAGCAACGTAATGAGGAACAGCTTAATCATCGTGATTCGCTTTGATGCTCAAACGTACACTAGTTGGATCAGTACAAACGTTCTTCGCTTTTATATAGATCCCATAATCCATGACGTGTTTATGTATCCATTCACGGAAAAAACAGCAGGTCTATGTATATCCTTATAATAATAATGATACTTCCGATTATTACTGCGGATTTTTTTTGTTTGCGCAATTAGCGACGAGATTTAACGCGAAACTTATTAAATTGAACAATAATGCAATTATAATGTTTCACTTCTGCGATAATTTGTATATTTTTTACGATAAAACTAAATCATAGATCTTATCGCTTGCTTCTTCATTGTTTATTATTTTTACCGACTAATAAGTACCACCTATGGGATATTTATATATATGTATATAAGTATATAATAGTATATATATATAGGGTGTTTCTTTTTAATCTAACCAGGCGAATATTTCAAATGCTGTTGAGTTTATAGAAAAATGTGTCAGACAAAAGTTGTAGAGTGCAGAGGGGAACACAAGATGGTGGCCTTGAGTTTTTGAATAAGGTCAAACTGAAGGTCATTTCAAGGTCAACTTTGATTTTTTTAATGGAATGTAGTATTTTTCATTGCATATTCTGAACGAGCATAAAATTCTGCGTTAAAATTGTCTGACACGTTTTTCGTGAAAATCCATTTTATTGTGGAAATTTAGCAATTTAAGCAAAGATGTATCTCATACGGTGACATTTTATGAAGCATACAGTATGAGTAATTCTGTCAAATCATGTAAGAAATCAACCGATACTTCTTTCTTTTGTAATGAAACGTTGCCTAAGGATGAGCTCAATACGATGTAAGAATGCAATAATGGACGCACGAACGTAAATGAACGATGACGCCCGCGTATGTCCGAGATTACGTCCTTAGGCAACATAAAATGGATTTTCATGAAAAACGTGTCAAACAATTTTAATGCAGAATTTTATGCTTTTTCAGAATATACAATGAAAAATACTACATTCCATTAAAAAAACCAAAGTTGATCTTGAAATGACCTTCAATTTGACATTCATCAAAAACTTAAGGCCACCATCTTGTGTCCCCCTCTGCACTCTACAACTTTTGTCTGACACATTTTTCTATAAACTCAACAGCATTTGAAATATTCGCCTGGCTAGATTAAAAAGAAACACCCTGTATATTTTATGAAATATTCAATCTGTCATAGGACCGTACATGTGAGAAACAACCAATAAGAAACGAATTATATATTGCGTGTTTAATTATTTTAATGATTTCAACAAGCCTTTAGAAAATCATATCTGAAGATGAGACTTTCATAAAGTTGAATATTTTTCCATTTTTTTTAAATGAAAACCTCAGACATGATTTTTGTTATTTTATTCTGACTTTGATGATATCTTTTAATGAGCGTTGGCCGTAAATATTGTTTTGTGACACAAAATCCAAGGTCTTGCAATTTTAATGTGAGTATATAGTGGTATGACATAAGTAGTATAAATGACAATAGTTAAAATTAAAAGTAGGAGCATAAAAATCAAACGCAAGGTCTTTGTGCAAGTTATCTATTAAACAAATCTTCATATAAGTATATATAAACGTTTTGATTTTCTCATTTATGTTTTTCACAGCATTCAAAAAGTAGTTACATTTAATCTTTATGAATGGGTCATTTGGACCCGGATGAAAATTTTAATTGACCTCTATTTTTGTACGATTAATATCGCAAAGTTAAAGTGGGCGGATAAAAAAATTTGGAATTTTCCTCTGTCAATCGCTGCAATGCGGCTGTTTAGTTGTCACCTTAATGCAATTGTGATGCAATAAAAGTTTAGCTTGGGTGACTTGGACCCGTCAAATGTAACTTCAATAGGTTTTTGCCGAAAGTAAAAATTCGTTTTTCGTAAGTGCCTGTTTATTAGTGCTATATTCCAGTATATATGTGCTTTTATAATTAAAATATATATTTAAAACATTCATTTTCAGAAATAGTATTTTTGCGAGAAAGGCATCTTGACGAAACGATCGCTCTATTTTCTCGGACTTATAAAATCGTGAGTAAATAATGTCGAGAGAAATTATTATATATTTAATATATTCAATTAGAAATATTTTATTTCCAATTGTGAAAATATCGATACCATTTTTCCGAACATGTATAAAAATACCTCCACTTTACTTGTGCAAATAGTTATATTTTTGGAATAAGTCAATATAACGTTTTTTTTTCTTGTAATTCACATTTTCTTGTTTTCGACTATTTATTTTTATGTGTATCTTTTTTTATCATAAAGATATGATTTCTTTTAAACTGATTTTTGCACTTTTTTCACAAATTATTCTTTAATGTTTTTTGACATAACTTTTTAATTATTATCAATACCTTTTTATGTTTTAATATTTCGATTCTATACATTCTGACATTTCATTAAAAAAAAAATTTCTTCCATTAAGATTTGTGATAATTACGGAGCTAGTAAAAAACGTCGTAATTTGGATCCAAACCTGTTAATTAAGACTCTAAAATGAGATATGTTATAATTGGGGACTATAAAATCGTTAAATAAATTTAGAATATAATATAGAACATATATAATTACGAATTATCTAAAGTGTCAAACTCTAATTTTCTAGATATCACGTTGATAGCTAACATTGGAAGAATCATATTTGTCTTGTCCAAAAAGCCAATGAATTCAAACATCTCAAGATTAGAAATTAAGGCCTGAGTTCGTACGAGTCAAATATAATTTTTTTATTGTAAACGTAACGTCTAAAAACTAAAGTTTGACGCTTAAGATAGTTTCTTCATAATATAAGATATGTATATAATATAAGTAAGAGTACAACAGAGCGAATATATCAAATATAGAGACTGTATGGTTCAATAGCAGAATCGCTGCTAATTAAGGGAAATTCGGAGATTAACAGCAGGCTCGGTTTGAAACCCGGTAATGTCAGGATCCTGATATTCTTTTCATGTTGTTGCTTACAGTAATTATGATTCTATCTTTATTTTAATGCAACCATTTTTAAAATGCTCGCACGGAATGCAAGAGATCCGGATTCGACTCCTAGCCGAGATAATATTTTTCGCAATAAATAAAGTTATTTACAGATTTCTATCATATTAAGATCTCTCTAATAGATGTCTATTGAGCATCAAAAATTTAATTTTAAATTAGGTAAGCATTAAAAAGGTCCCAGCTTAGACCGTTATGGTTAGGATTTCCTATTTCCTATTTGATGAATTTTACTATTTTGATAAATGACAATTATAATTACTATAAATGTGTAATTCAGACTAACGCTTAATATTATTTATATTATATATATTATATATATATATTATACGTTTAAAATAGCTAATATGTATTTTGATACCTACACAAAATACTCTGCAGATTTTAAAAGCTCTATTAAAACATCACTGAGATTACCAGGGATGCGTTCCAAAACTTGACTCTGTTAACACTTGATGAACAAGGATAAAATGATACTTGGGTTGACAGAGTCAAGTTTAGGAAATCAACCTAGGCGAAAAATATAGTATATCAGTGCAGAGCTTATTAACCTTTAGACTGCCGGGAAAGCCACTTTTATGGCTTTGCAAAAATCTCGAAATTTTGCGTCATGTGTGTATGTTACTTTTATAGAAAAATTTTTGAGGAAAAAGAACCACTATTTTAATGAAAAAATGTCAGCAGTCTAAAGGTTAATAAGAATTTATTAATAAATTAATTTGCACACATTACAAGATGTATTCCAATTTATCCCGTGTAAAAAACTACAGACTGTTTTCTCGTGACTTGCTTAATTTATGAAAGTCAGGATTTATATAAACGAAGTAAAATCGAAAATCGATAGTTCATGCTGTAATCCTCAACTACGTTTGCGACGATATAATTAATTTGTTTGCGCCAATCGTAAAAAAGGCAGGCGACACTCGCTCGCGACGTAGCCTTACCGTTAAGCAGCTCTAACATTTGCATTTTACGGGCGGCTATTCCGTGAAAGAAAGCCCGATGCGGAGATAGCGCGGATGAAGCAATCAGAAGCGTGTTTAACAAAACCTGACTCGGCGAATGGCGCGCGGTGAAAATCTTGACGGAGCAACGAGGCCTCGACCAATTACCGCGAATAACTATTCATATCGGCGTGAGTAATCTACGCTTCTCGTACGCGACGCGACGGAGATGGTCAGAATCGTCCTCTGATGCGCGACGTTATCGCGTGCGTGCAACGGATCGTCCTGTCCGAAGTATTTATTGCTCTCTGACACCGATAGATGCCCGTTTCCAGCTTTCCTCTCCTGCTTCTGTCGTATTCCCCTGTCGAAGATTGCTAAGCGAATAAAGCAAAATATTTCGTATAAAATTAAAGTATAAAAAAAAATCGTCATTTTGTCTCTGTACGACGGAAGCAGGAGAGGAAAGCTGAAAACGGGCATCTATCGGTGTCAGAGATAATATATACATATATATAAATGAACAATAATTTAAGGATATTTTAGTTGTACAATATCAGATAAAAGTATCAGCAAAAAAATGAATTAAAAAGGCTATGATATCAATTAAAAATTTTGTTATAAATGCACTAAAAAAACTAAATTTTAATAAATATTTGTTTGAATAGTTCTAATTAAATATTTACTGAAAATATAAATACATATTTATTTACAAAAACCATTAATTTGATTTAACTATCACTTTTTATTGAGTAAATATTTATCTACTTAAGTGGATATTTACTTAGTACTATATACGACGAAATATGTATTAAAACTTTGTGAATTTTTTTCAATGTACCTGAAACTAACCGCAAAAAAACAACAAATAATTTAATATAAAGCTTTACGTAATGAAACAATTAAATTTTGCTGTAATTTTAAATAAATAACTTTTAAATGATTATGGATCCAAATAAACTTTTTTATAATATTTATCAAATTGTATTAGTAGATATATATATAAACAAATTTGATAATGCTACGAGTTTAATAAATAATTATACAAAATATGATTTTATTTAAGAATTGAACAAAAAATTAAACAACTTGTAAACCAAT